GGCTCTTGGTACAGCCCTCTGGCTGCTCCCCCAGCAGCTCCATCTCTGCTCCCTGTTCCTCCGTGCGTGGCGATCTCGCCACCTCCCAATGTCAGCCCTTCGTGGCCTCTGGCTATCTCGCCATTTCCTACCTCAATCCTCCACTCTCTCTTCCACCCCGCTGGCTGGCGCCGTCATGAGCCCCTCAGCCACCAGGCTGAGGCACGGCGACCACCCAACGTGTTCACCACCCTTCACTCCCCCGACTGCTCCCGATAGCTTCCTGTCTCCCCGCTATAACTTCTCCCCCACGTCACCCTGACTCCTCCCTCTCGGATCGTCATATCCGCCCCGCCCATTTACGCCCGCATTACACATACACTGCTTTAAGAAGAGCAGTGGACAGTCGTATTGTCATGGGGAAAAAAAACATTAATTCCGATGCTCGTCATTCAACGAATGCGCGGACAGGTAAGAATTTATATTAATCCCAGGTAAATAATTATATTGAGATGTTTATAATCCTCAGGCAGTTCAATAACCGTGGCATGCCCTTGCCATGGACAATATGAAAACCCTTCAATGAATACGATGCAATTGCAAAGTATAAACGTCAACTTCTTGTAAGCACGGTCTCAGTGGAATAATAACCTCTGAACACCTTTCATCTGATTCGTTTCATATGAATTTCAACAGATCTGAAGTTAAACTTACCTTCAGGGGTGCCTAGGGTATATTTTTCATACAGCACACAAATATTAATACCTTGTTAAACGTGCACATTCAGATGGACGTTTGTTAATGCCTCTAACCATAATTACTCTAAATCATTAGACCTCCTTTGCCAGTACCAAAATATAACAATAGGGTTTTCCCCCTTTTTTCTGACAACAAAACTGAAACCTTTTTACGAGGAATCATGTCTGCATTAACCACAATACTTGTGGTCAAAATGATAGTGCATTGTCTTTGAGCTGGTCTAGCAACAATTGAGACGAGGCTCAAAAGAAAGCTGTTTCTGGTGTGGACCAATCAGTTTCAAGGACAATGCATTAATTATCAAAGTGTGTTTTTTGTTTGCATTTTGGCCAAAGTATTGTGGCTAATGCAGACGTGATTCCTCGTAAAAAAGGTTTCAGTTTTGTTGCCAGAACAAAGCGGAAATCCCCTATTATCATAATTACTCTCTTTAAGGAGTCTCGAATTGGGATTATGGCCAGTTCATGAATGAGCACTTTTTAAAAGGTAACGGTGCAGCCCTGCAATTGCTTGCCCATGCTCCTGTTGTCAGAAGGAACTCCACGAATAGTGAGATCGAAGGAGGCAACCTGCGGCTCTTTAAAGACTGCTGCTTCGTGATGTTATTTATCAAGTGACATCGTCTCGCATTCACCCACACGGCATTGCGCCACTTTAAATATTGAGGGGGGGGGGTCTATGCAAACATGACTCCTCGTAAAATAGGTGTCAGTTTTGTTGCCAGATAGAAGGGTAAAAAAACAATTATCATAATTTTTACTAGCAAATGAGGTTCCAATGGTGTTAATGCTTACCCCGAGCTCTCATACTCTGATGGTGCATTGTCTTTGAGTTGTGCGCCTTTTGGCGTCATCTGGTCCAACCCATGTGAGACTAGGCTCTAAGGAAAGCTGTCTCGGGTGTGGACCAATCAATTTCAAGGACAGTGCATACATTATCAGAGTTGTGTTTTTTGTTTGCATTATGACTGCAGGTATTGTGGTCTATGCAAACATGACTCCTTGTAAAAAAAGGTGTCAGTTTTGTTGCCAGATAGAAGGGTAAAAAACCAATTATCATATTTTTTACTGGCAAATGAGGTTCCAATGGTGGGGGGGGGGTGTTTTTGTTGTACCGAATTTCGAAAAATATTTTCACTTCTTATTTTTGGCTTTTCGACCCCTGCTCTCGAGGCTATTTCGCCTATTCTTCCATGCTGGTCAGACAAACTTGGAAAGGGGTGGTTTGGTAGCCACACTCTACCCCACCCGCATGCAATCTGCCGATTCACGAAAGCGTGGTGTTACCCAGTTTATATTTGTCGGTAAACAGGAAACACGCCCAGTCCGTTCAGCTGCCGCGTCTGGAGATCAAACCGGCAAATCCACTGGTCACAAAAGCAAAGTTTGTGGGGAATAAGAGCCATTTTCTATACTTTCTAGGCATAAGCATTTACGAAATAACACTTACTACCCAGGAACAAAAATTGTGTTTTATAGTGTAATTAATGACGTATTTGTTGTTGCTGTTGAGATTTTTGCCAACCCGTCATGAATTCGCCCGGTTGTCTGTGATACAAACATCCCGAATGCATTCGCACTTTCAACCTTATGAAACGGCGTTAAAAAAAATCGTATCGGAACTCGTTGACCCTTATGTGATTAATTAAACCGCATAATATATTTTGTTTATTAATGTTTAGCACACCTCAATATCAAATGCTGCACTGTGCTCCGTTTTAGGACGAGGTTTACGTACGCTCATACGCAGAGGCACAAACTCGATATATTTACGATTCGATGCAGAAATAACAGATGCTTGGAATTAAGGAGGGAATAAAGATGCGTGTGTGTGTGTGTGCTTTTAACCCCCGAAGTAAAAGTAGGGCAAGGGCGTCAATTATGTAAGCAGGGATTGAGCAAACGTCTTTGGAACAAACACGTGGCGTCAACATGAACGGAGGCCGTGGTGCCCTCTCACACATTCTAGATTTGAAGCTTTCGTGACTGCAAGGATTCATACTCTTAGTTCTTTCGGTAAAGTCACGTAGGTAAAAAATGAAATTAAAATTAATAAAAATAAAATAAAAATCACGACGTTTCGGAGGCAACACAAGTCTCCTGTCATCAGGTGGGACCGTCACAACCAGATTTGCTGCATCAAGTGATATCAAGTGATACAGCAAATCTGGCTGTGACGGTCCCACCTGATGACGGAGACTTGTGTTGCTTCCGAAACGTCGTGATTTTTATTTAATTTTTTATTCATTTTAATTTCATTTTTTACCTACGTGACTTTACCGAAAGAACTAAGAGTATGTATACCCTCTCACACACTCACAGCCACAGACGTCCTCGGTCAACACTCACAGCGCCTTCTTCCGACATACCTCAGGCAACACTCGCAGCGCCTTGCTACAGACATTGGCAACACTCTGACATTGCGCGACTTTGAACTGTTTAAATGGATCAGAGTGTTCCACTATTTTCCATCCCGTGATGAAAACTTGGTTGTGTGTATAAATATTTTTTTCATGCAAGGTCAGAGTTTTCTCCCGGCTCGCATGAGCGTAGGCGGGTGCTCTTATCGACTTGCAGCCTCCTGAGGCCGGCAGTGGAAATTCCACATTCCTCAGACAGGGCCGAGACATTTGTAGTAGTAACAATAATGTCAAACTGTGCCACAGTTATTCGTGTGGTACGACATACAGGCGGGAAGGCAGCAGCCAGGCAGTGAGCTGACACAACATTCCCACACAAGTTCTGCTGTCCTCTGTATATGAAGGGTGTTTATCGGCCATTCATGAGTGTTTCCACGTGGGCGGAAACTGGAGCACAGGGGTAAATCCTAACCCATACAGATGGAACAGGTTAGGTCCATAGAAACCGCACCGCCTTCTCCTGGCAAGGCAGGATATATATCTATTTTTAGTTTTACTAGGTAAGGCCCACTGAGCCATGTAGCTCTTTCTCAGAAGCGACACGTGGACGTGTAGAGCAGCGTGGTGGTTCTAAATGTGGAGGGGGGAACTCCAGAGGACACGGAGAAAAATCCACACGACCACGGGGAGAATCTGGCGCCTCAACAACCACGAGAAGGGAATATCACAACCTTTGCATGCTCCACCAAACATCACATCCACAGTGCTGGATTACAAACATAGACGACCACCGCCCAGCTCGCATACTAACTTCATCTTGTGGTGCTTTCCTTTGCCAATTCCTCCACGAATTGCGGGGCAGTCGTCCACAGATCAACGATCAACACCGATTCGAGACTTGTTCTACATTTCTATCCGGCTATTCCTTGTGTATATTTATCTGTTTACCTCGGAGAGCCTCTCCCAACACTAATAGCTATATTCTCATTTGAAACTTTCGTGACTGCAGGGATTCATATTCTTGGTTCTTTCGGTAAAGTCACGTAGAAGGGAAATAATTAAATAATATCGATATTAAACAATAACAATTCTCACGACGTTTCGACTGCAACACAAGCAATCATCATCATCAGGTGTGAAATCCACAGAAATATTTTTTTTTTCTTTCTGTGGATTTCACGCCTGATGATGATTGCTTGTGTTGCAGTCGAAACGTCATGAGAATTTGTGTTTTTTATATTTATATTACTTTATTATTTCCCTTCTACGTGACTTTACCGAAAGAACCAAGAATACTAATAGCTGTGTTCTCTGAGTACATTTGCCGCTAGCCGCTTGCGCGTTCCGACATTTGGCGTTGGCGTCTCGGAACGGGAAAGGGTTCATGGAAACGGTGCATCTACCGTGCTCCACTTCTTGGCAGTCCCGAATCGGGAGTAGAATTTCCGCATTGCCGTGGCGAGGGTGAATATGTCTTCGCACAATCGACACCGCTGAGGTTTTCCGCGAAGCGCTCTTGAATTTCGCATCTGGAAAAAAAATCACCTCCGGCCAGGATTTTCACCGATTTGCGCTCACTTCAGCACCGACGGCTCAGCAGTGGACGTGCACCACCTTGCAGGGCTGAAAGACACCATTCGCGCTCCATCTCACGCCACTGCGCTCAGTCTCCGCCACATTGAGAGAATTTGACATTATCGCGCCGGATGTATGACTTTCATGCGTCTGCTATATGCGACTCGTAAGTATATTTCTCAGATGTTGTTTTACGAGTCGAAAGCAGCCCCCCTCGTGGCCAAGTCACACGGCGTCGCTATATATAACCCCTATTCCGCGAAAATAAACAGCAGCACGTTTGACACCCGGGTGCCACGCGCGCGTACCGATGGAGACGAGACACAGAGCCGGGCACACTGAGCCCTTGCCAACGCTGAGCACCCCACGCCAGCACACGCGCACAGAACGAGCGCTTCTCATCATCGTCGTCGTCGACGTCCTCAGAGCGGGCTCAACTCCCACCCAACAGCTTGCGCCGCATCGCGCCACATATCAGCTGCATAGGAGCCGGTAAGTGTACGCCTGATTGTTCATCTTCTGTGTGTGTGTGCGTGCGTCTATATAGGGAGTCCTGGCCGTAGTGTTGGCCAAACCACCCCCTTGTTGGCCACACCACCCTCTTGTGCGCCGTGCCGGCCTTCATAGAAACGTGCGTTTAAGAGTAGTTGGCTGTTGATATGAATGTTCACGTGATGAGCCACTTCGTTGGGCTATCATTTGTGATTGCCAGGTCGCTGCTGAAAAAAAATAGCCTACGTAGCTCCCAGTGGGCCTTACCTGGTCAACAAAAAAGTGCTCGCTAAGTGGAATTTTGCCCCAGCAGCCTGGAAAGTCTACACGGGAGGGAGGGGGTGGTCTTTGTTTGTGCGGGGGCAGCACCATGAAAATCCTCTCACCCACGACCCACTTATCCACCTACTACTTTGCTCTGTCGGTTCACCGTCCACAACTCCAGTTGACCACGGGGGCCCCTTTTCCACATCTCGTCTGTTGTTATTTTTAAAATATTTTATATTAAGTTCACTTGCTTGCTTGCGTGCTTGCTTGCTTACGACCGTGCAAATCTTTCGGTCGTTTTTTAACCCACTTCCCGTGATCCAATCGAGCTGACATTTTGCACACAGACTCGTTGTGCGAGACAATTAATGTTCGTGAAAAAATGTTTTTCAAAATTTTACACTGTTTAGGGAAAACAAATTAAATATTTAATTACCAATTGGTTAATACTGGCAGACAATCATCTGGCCCATAGGTGGCAGCCATCTCAAGCCAGAGGACGAGAGGACTCTAGTCGCCACGCATATAAAGGATTTAGAGTGAAAAACTTTGTTTTTACGGGTTATACTTATTTCCAAACTTGCTTTGACAAAGAACGGCTTCCTATTATCTGCAGGTTTTTGTTTCACAGCTAAGAGGAATAGGTGCTCACCCACAACACTTGCGCGAACAACCTGAGTAGGCTATGTAAACGAGCGGGGGGGGGGTCGAGGTGACAAAGACAAAGATCCCCGTATAGCCTTAACAGACTGTTGTGGCAACTGCTGTTAGCGAGCACCTATGAAGGCCAGAACGGTACACGGTGGGTGGCCAGCACCACGCCCGGCATCCTTTGTCTCCCCGGTGGCGATGTTTACTACACACCGCACCAGGTACTCATTTGAGGCCGAGTCTACCTAGGGGAGGCCCAGGACCGGTTCAGATAATCGTCACCGGTGAGCCAACAGCAGTACACTTTTTGTACAAACACAAATCCTGGCTGTGGCCTCATATCCGCGTGGTAGGCGGCATCAGAAATGTCCGTGTCGGAGCTTGTGTTGCAGCAGTGTAGTCGCGTAAGCGCTGGGAAGGCAACAGGGTAACTGAACACTATATGGGGGGGAGGACTTTGCTTGATGTGTGTGTATATATCGGTGCCTTTTGGCACAGTGGTTAGCACATTATGTTACAAACCCGGTGACCTTCATTTGAATAACGACCGTGGCTAACCATCAGTGGCGAGTGATATCCGAACAAACACTGGACTTTCCCCCCATGTGTCGACTCAGCCTTAAATGAGTTCCGCTGTATAAACTTCACCACAGGGGAGACAAAGGTGTCCGGGTGTCGGTGCTATCCACAACACCACGACGCGCACTGTTTAAGCCTTCACGATTGCTCGCGAACAGCACTTGCCCCACTCCTCTAGAAGGCTATACGGGGAATGTCTTTTTGGGGTGCATGTGCACTGTTCTAGTATCACGGCAATTTGGGTCTTATTCCAGGCTGCTATGGCTGTCATCGCCACGTGATGGGGAATGTGAAAATCAATTAATGGGGGGGGGGGGGTTCGGGGGGAGGGGTTGGCAGCCTACTAAATAGGTGCTCGCAAACAGCACTGGCCCCTAAGGTCTTCAAGGCTAAAAGGCGAGGGATCATTGACCTCGTAGAATTCAGTCGTGCAGTGGATCACACACACACTGCACTACGACCTAGGATACATTCCTGGCACTGATGCTAAAAGGAGATCGTTGTTTTTGCGTGTGCTGGGCATGTCACTACTTGACCCAGCCAGCGCAGCCTCCAATCCATCGTGTCAGAACGCCAAGTGATAGGACTCAAGCCGAGGTTGTTGTTGTTGTTTCAAGAACCTGTGAACTCCTCACACAATCCAATCGCGATAAACCAGGGATGACTCACAGGCGAGGGCAAGCTTGGCTGTCTCAAGACGAAAGCGATCGCTCACTGCTCTACGTCGAAGCAGTTGTTGCATCGCTAAGCGGGGGACAAACAGCCTCGGTGCGGTGACCCACAGCGGAATGGCTTTGTCACTGACTGAGTGACTGGTAACCTGCGCTGTCGCGGTGAGCGTCTGGGGAATGATGATGATGATGATGATGCTCCTGGGCAGCTGGTGGCAGCCGCCCTCCAGCAACAACGGGAGGCGGGAGGGAGAGCGGCGTTGGGGAAGCATAAGCACAATGAGCTTGCAGAGTGGGGGGATTTGTAATAACACGACAACATGTGTACAAAAAAGCATTCGGCCACTTGCACTATGCCAAAACCATCGAAAGTTCCAGAAGGACTCCATTGTGGTCGTCCTGTCTTAGGCCACACTCAAATGAAATGTGAGTAAACGTGACCGACTTGCAAGCAGCATTGAGATGGGAGAGACAATTGCTGGCCGGTTTTCATCATCATTAGGACTCATCAGTCCATAATGGTCATCAATGCTCACTGCTGAAAGGTCAACCCCAGGGGAACCACACTTCCACACGATGGGGTCTATTAGCCTGATTAATACCAACAACAATAAAAGCTGTAAATAATGAGAAACGCCCATCATGACGTAAAAAAAAATGTGCAGGCCGGAAAAAAACATCTATTTGATATCACGCGCAAAAACGCGTGCAAAAAGCACTCAGCCTCTTGCATTTATGCAAAAAAACATTAGCAGTTCCTAAAGAGGAATGGAGGTGGAGCATATGCCAGTCACTTTGCCGGCAAGCCTCTGTCACACCGAAAACTCTCCCGTGTGCGAATGTGGTCATCCAGAACCATGCAACACGATGCAATGCCCAGATCCACAACTACGAAGCATACATCACAGCGACGATGGACTACTCAGCTCCTCCTGACGCGGTTGTCTGGCTTGACCACCTTGGCCGCATTCTCCCATCAAGTGGCATGCGATCTCCAAACCTGTCCCCGGGGCTCTCCTGGGTTAACTCAGCCTAAAACGAATGGGATTGGAGCTGGCCCGAACACCTCCATTGTCGCACCGGACTTAATAGATGCTTGCTCACCGCACTTGCCTCAAAGATCTATAAGTCATGCGGAACACGCGGCCAGAGCTCCAAACTTGATCTGAAGCAGCAGTACGTATACCCTGCACATCGTATGCGGGACATTGTTTAGCGGTGATCAGAACCTGCCTGGAGAAGAAAAGTAACGGACGGTGCAGTCCTCTGTGAGAGCAGGAGAAGCTCCTGTGCTATCTTGAAGAGGCAGCAGCGCAAATCTACCAAGGAAGGACGTGTGGCTGCACCTCAGAGCTCTACATCCTCCCTGACCTGCTGTCCAGTGTGCCGCAGAGAATTCCGGGCTCTGATTGGCCTCTTCAGCCATCTGCGCACTCATCAAAACCCAACAAAATGACAAACGTGCCATGGTCATCATCAACTTTGATTGAAGAGGGCCGGAGTCCTGCGGTCCGCAACACAACCACCACCGTCCACCTCCCCTCCGATTCCCACGGCCCCCACCACCAGCCACGCATGGGCGCGTGCTCTTCACTGTTGCTACACAGCAACAGTCGGCGGTCTGTCTATTTAAACGCCAGTCGAGCTCGTTCAGCACGTGGCACAGGAGCTGAGGAGTGGTAAACATGGAATCTGTCGGCTTGCGCTGGGGAATCGGGGGTGGTGTTGCGAAACCCCTGGGCGAATGGCTCGGGCATTGCTTGTTAATCAGAGCAGAGGATAAGGAATTTCTTTCATTGGCTTTAAAAAAAAATAATAAACAGAGCCGAGGCCTCGAACGTGTGAACTCGTGATGTGTTTATCGTTTATAAAGCGGCGTTGATTTGCGACGACAATGCGTTTAAGCGTTTTCATATGGAATATATATTTTAAAACACTTTTAAAAAAACACGCTTTAAGCTTCTTTTTGCAGAACCTACCAAGCCACAGACGATAGCTGAACGAAGTAGCACATCGCGTAGAGATTCATAGCAGCCATCCAGCAGTAGATCGGTCGTCACATCGTAAACATGAATGTTCTGTAGTGATGGAAGAACTCCACAACTCCAGGAAATGGCCCCGAAGCTTGCCATAATGTGGGCAATTAGACCCAAGCCGAAACATAACATAAAAAAGAATGTTTAAAAATATAAAACATTTTATGATAGAATATAGTAGTATCATCAGTATGACATAAGTATACCAAGTTTGCAGTCGATACCACATTGGGAAGTGGGTTAAAATTGAGCTACAAGATTTGAGGATACAACAATAACAGACATTGGGACGCTGTCTTTCCGACAGCTCTGTTTCTTCACCTGAGGACGGCTGCTTGTGTTGTGGCCGAAACGTCGTGAGAATTTTATTATGTTTCATTTTTATTATTTCATTATTTCCCTTCTACGTGACTTTACCGAAAGAACCAATAAGATGAATCCCTGCAGTCACGAAAGCTTTAAATCGAAAAATAACAGACAGAGTGAGTAAATAAAAAGCGTGTATAAAAATATAAAAAGGGCAGGAGGGGTGGGGGTGTCGTGCTCACAATACCAGCGTGGCTTTAATTGGTGCTCTCTATCAGCATTTCCACCTACCGGCTACGATGCCAAGCTGGTGGCCTGTGCCTATGGTTGTCTGCTGTACTCAAGTTCAAGTTCCTGTATTAGGTATAGCCCTGTGAGCCATTCGGCTCTTGAATCGGGTGCAACCGCAACAAACAAAAAACATAAACATGAACAAAAACATCTTAAAGTGAATATTTAACTAAGTGCAAACAGAAAATCCAAGAAAAGA